GAACGTTTGGAAGTCTATGCGAGTAATACGGGAGAAGATTCGTCGGATCATCCGTAAAATGGCGAATGCCTTTTGGGCCGATCTCTCATGGTGCAGTGAGGAGGACAAGTTTGAGGAGACCCAGATGCCCAAATCCTTTTTGGCATCTATCCTCATGATGTTTTCCGGTCATTTCTCACCATGCATAACAAAGGCATTCGCTGAGTCTCCTCCAAACGACATATGGGATAACATATGGGATGTGGTTTGTAAAGAATGGTTGATAGCAGCAATGCGCAGCAAAATGCGTCATGCGCGTACAGATTATCATCTACGAACGTTATGGCCCTCAGATATCGTATAAGTGATTCAAATTTATTGAACTGCTTTGCCACAAGTATTACTTGGGTTAACAATTTGCGAGGTGATAGGAGACAGGACTCGGTGTCGATCCAGCCATGTACGGGGTACGGCACAAAAGTTAGTTTCGAGAGTGATTCTATCGCATGGTTTGCTTCGGCTAGTATGATGTGGACTGTAGCAAGTTCTGAAAAGTCTCTCAGCTACAAACTACATGCAATGTTTGCTCATTGTAAGGAATTTACTTTTTATTGCAAATCAGCGTACCCTATTTCATTGAGCATTGTTCAGATTCGGCGCATTCAATGCCCAATCGAACAAAATAACCATACGGAAGCCATTCATGCATCAGATATGGACATTGTTAAATATGAAGTGGTAACCAAAAGAACACCGTACTTTCCAAAAAATCGTTTCCGTGCCCCAAACGCTCCTGCAAGTTCATGTTCACTTTTTGCGAACGACTCAACTTCCTGGAGTTCCAATGCCAGTACCCTCCAGATGGATGTAGACAAGCAAATCAGTAGTCGCTGGCCTGGCACCTTTCTCTGAACGGCGAAAATTGCGTCCATATGTCACTTGGATGGGACTCAGCGAATGCTTTTGTCATGCAATGTGAGGAAGGACCAGCAGCCAGCACGTGGATAGACGCGAAAAAGTATTTGGGAATCTGGCTCTCCTCAAACCTGCCCTTCTCAATGCAACACGAGAAATCGGCCCAAAAGGCATTCGCCGTTCTACGGATGATTCAGCGCACCTTCTTCCGTATCACTCCCTTGGACTTCCAAATACTCAATGGGGGCACTAACAGACCGCTCCCCGAATATGCCAACCGAGTTGTCTACTCAGGACGCACGAAAGACGTCACCCTCATTGAGCGTGCCCAGCGAGCCGCTACGAAAACTGCTGCGGGCCTTAAATCCGTGGGTTACGAAACGCATCTCGCGGTGCTTGGCATAGTCACCTCGGGGTATCGTCGCCTCCGAGGGGACCTAATTCTCACTTATGTCCTTTTTGAACAAGGTTTTCACTGTTGACCCATCAAACACATTGCGAGGGCACGCCAAAAAGATTTTCAAGCTCAGAGCGCACACTTTCATTTGGAACTTTTTTCTTCCTTTCGGGTATTAGTTGCGTGGGGTAACTTTCTCCGACTTCTGTCCACGCTCCTTCTAGAACCCACTTCCAAGCATTGTTAGACACTAAATTATTCGAGTCCTCGCGCTGGCAAACATATGTCCCGTGCTGAGAACATAAAGGGCAGTGCCATACCCATTTTTCAATTGGGCCTTTCAGGTGGACGACAGCCGCTGAACGGCAAGAACAAAACCGACCCGGGAAACCTGGGCGAAACCCTCGATCCTGTTAGTCAATCCGTGAACCCATGAATCCATGTGCAAGCTCCACTGGAGCATAGCGACCACTGTGTGCTAACCTTTGATTTCATCTGCTATTGGGCCAGAAATCCCAAACCTCAAACGTGGTTTCGAGACTTCTGCCGTGCAGACTTCTCAGGAATGCGCATCTTCCTTGAACAAGTCACACTGAGACCAGCTCCGGTGGAAGAACTATATAGGACCATTGTCCAGAAAGTCCACGAGGCTGACGCGACATTCGTCCCAAGAAAACCG